CAGTTGATCCACTTTTGTTCGCAGGTCTTTGTATTTTGTTATCTTCTCCAGTTCTTTCTCTTCTCTTCTGCTGTCTCCAGGTACTGCCATATCCACTATCCAGACTTTTTTGTCTTTCTTATTGACAATTGTTAAGTCTAGGGTGTTGTATTGCACTCATTTTATTTTTAATGCCTTTGAGTTATTATTGACGCCTGGTGATTGCCTGGACTAGGTCCCTGCAGTTTTCTTGGCAATGTTTTTCAGATGTGCCATTGCTTCCTTCCTTGGACTGAGAGAGGGTGACTGGCCCCAGTGCCTAAGGTGGGACCAGAACTCCCAGTCTCCCAGTTTTTAGTCTGGTGCCTTAACCACTACACCAAACAGGCTAAATTATAACCCTATTGTTATTAAACTAATAATAGCCTTAAAAATGAATACAGTACAAAATTATTATTTTTTTGCATGAAATTTTATTTATTTTTTCATCATAAAAAACAAACATAAGTAAACACAAAAACCATTCAAAAATCCCCCCCCCCCCCGGACTTCCCAAACCTATCCCAGGATAAAATTCATATAAAAGTAAACAAATACTAATATCTCTAACTTCACAAAGTGTCTTAATCTAAAAAAAAAAAGAAATAAAAACCATAAACAAACTTAAGCAAAATCTAAAAGCCTAAATTATATTCTACCACTCTGTGTTTCTTTTGAATATAAACGATCCATCTTCTCCATATTAATAAAAATTGTTCATTCGAGTAGTTCTTCAAGTAAGCCGAAATCTTTGCCATTTCAGCAAGGTACGAAACTTTCAGTCTCCAGTCTCCCATCGTGGGCAGAATTGGGCTCTTCCAATTTTGGGCTATCAGCAATCGAGCAGCAGATAAACAATAAAGCATCAAATTTGTTTCTTTAACATCTAGATGTTGTACAATACCTAAAAGAAACAACTGTGGAAGAAAAATAATCCTTTTTTTAAAAATCTGTTGTAAGTTCCACCACAATTGTATCCAAAAGGCCTTAATAACCTTACAAGTCCACCACATATGAAAAAAAGTTGCATCTGGATGCCCACACCTCCAACACTTGGATTCATAGTTCGCATAAATTCGAGACATAGTTGAAGGATCCAAGTGCCATCTATAAAACATTTTATAAAAATTCTCACGTAAGTTTTGAGCTTGTGTAAACTTCACATTTCTCACCCAGATCAAAATACAGTACAAAATTTTAAAATGACCTCCAGTTTCTTTAAGATGAAAACTAGGTTAGCTTCTTTGTTTTTCCACCTACTATGAATTTTCTGTACTTCTGTTATGATTGGAAATAGATTTGATTTTAATACATGGATTTTATTATTTTTTAAGACAGATCAACGGTTTGCTTGTTTTTTCCTTCCTTAAAGTAAATGTTTAGGCAATATGACACACATATTGTATGTATGTATGTATGACATAAATATTTAGTAATATGACACACTGTTAGTGCTGTAGAGTACCTCATTTGCACATCCATAACATTTTTCCATGTTTGGTTTCAAAAAATGTCATTGTTTGGGCATTTGCATTTTTCCTTTGTTTTTTTTTATCATCTTGCTGGATGAGATGTTCTTAAGAAATTAAAAGCTTTGGCATTATTTATGAATTGGAGTCAATCTTCATGGGGATTTTTGTTTTACAATAATGGAGGAAAATTTCAGAAAGGAAAGGCTAAAGAGGAAAAGACTAAATATTATTCTCATTGGAACCTATGCAAATTGTCAAATTAAAAAGAAAGAAAATCATACTTAAAATGTAAATGGCATGCATTGTATGTTGTCATGGTTATATGCCCCTTTCTTCAACAGTTTTATTAATTACTTGGAGGAAGAGGTGGAAGGTATTCTTATCAAATTTGCAGTTGAGACAAATTCAGTAGGATAGCTAATCTTTTAAAAAGCAGAAGTAAAATCCTAACACAATCTTGATAAATGAGCTGAAAACAGCACAATGAAATTAAGACTTCATTTCTTTCTTAAAACAAAAGAAAGCAAATATATAGGCATAAAATGGAGAAAGGAATATTTTGAGTTGGTGGTACTTGTAAAAGTGTTAATCCTATAATAGTTAATTATAAAGTACATATGAGTCAGCAGTGTGAAGTAGCTACAAAAATAAAGATTTTCAGCGGCATGAATGGAAATACAGTGTACTTCAGAAATTATAGGAATTAATTGTTCCACTTTATTCTGGATTAGTGTGGCTTCAGCTGCTGAATCTTGTCCAGTTCTGGATATCACATTTTAAGAAAGATTCAGAGATTTTGGAACAGGTTTAGAAAAGACAAAAGGCATCATTAGGGAACTAGAAGCTAAATCTGAAAAGAGAGCTTGTAGAATTTGAGGATGATTAATTTTGAAAAGAAAGGACTGAATGTGGAGATGATAGTATTCTTTAATTATCTGAAAAGATGTCACCCAGAAGAAGGCCAAGACTGTTCCAGAAAACTAATTTTGGAAGACAGATTCAGCTAAAGAGAAATAGGACAAGAAAATCCTGCTGATGATATTACCTAGTCTGGTAACGAAATGTTCAAAAACTAAATAAAAACAAGCTTGGAGAGCAAACCACTGCCAAAATATACAACCCGAGCTACAAGTATTTTCTATTATTTCAATGTTTATAAAGTCTCCAGGAGCTGAGCTTTATTCGAAGGAGACTTAATTTTTTTTTGGGGGGGGGGGGGAAGGAATGAGGGTGAAATACAACCCCACTGAAATTCAGAATGGAAAGCACGGGATTAATTGGACAGAACTTTTTTTTAAGAAATGGATTATTGCAATTCTATGCTCTATTTTCTCAAGGCGCATGCAGCTCTCCTCTGATTTTATCCTCTTAACAACTGCTTAAATGAGGTGGGTTGGACTGAGAGGGAGTGGCTGGCTCTCTTTCAGCAAGCTGTTGGGACTTGAACCAAATCCAACAACTTTTCTACTCTGGCCTTTTCTGATATGTTCTGTAAATATTGTTTTTCCAGGCATCGTCTCCTTTTTAAAGGGACAAATCTGCATGACCTAATGACATTTGGTGTAGTGATTAAAGTGCTGGCCTAACAACCAGGAGACGGTAAGTTCTAGTCCCATTTTAGGCCTGAAAGCTGGCTGGGTGACCTTGGGCCAATCACCAGGTGACAGTGAGTTCTAGTCTGCTTTAGGCATGAAATCCAGCTTGGGCCAGTCCCTCTGTCTTTCATTTCAGCCCACCTCACAGAGTTGTTGTGGAGGGAAATCGGAGGAGGGAGTTTTAAGTAGATTTGCCGCTTTGAGTTTCTTATAAAGCCATGAAGGCGGAATAAAAACCTAACAAATATTTCTGCATTAGACAAATTTGACAGAGCAGATTTAAGCTGACACCTTGATCTCTGTCTTGGTGTTACAAAGTGAGCTCTGCCATCCATCCTAATTCCTATAATTGTGGTATAATAGCTGGTGGCTACATTCCCATGATTTTCTGACATGAGCCATTTGCTAATGCAAGTTAAGGAGGTCCTGAGGCTAAGAATGAAGTTGAAAATGCATGCCTTATAACAATATATTATTGATCCGTGGCCCTGGATGAGTCTCAAAACATAGATTTTTTAAATTCTCTTGTAGCTGATACTAATTAGTATCAAGACTGCAGCATTGCAGTGGTGAATGTTAAAATAGGCCCCTATTTCTAAGGCAGGTGCTACTGGAAAGAGGCTTGCAATTCTTCCTGACATAGTTAAAGCAACCTCTATATGTGCAAATGAATTATGAAGGTGACTCTCTCTTACAGTAGGATAAATTAATCCCTAGAGATGACAGAGTGCTGGGATGTGCGCCATATTAAGTAATTTCCCTCATATAGAGAAAACTGTATGGGGCATTACCATTGCTAGGTTTTCTTGTATAATTGCTTTTAATGTTTACCTGCATATTTTAAATTTGTATATAATTCAGTTTCATGTATAAATTGAATGGAAAAATAGTCAAATGAAAGGGTTAGGGTTATAGAAGGAAGGTCTGGAAAAAGGCGTCTGTACTGTAACTAAGAAGACAATGTGGACATGTTCATAAAGTCACCAGGAGCTGAGTTTTTTTCCAAGGAGACTTATTTTTTTTTTATAAGGATTGAGGGCCAAAGTAGTTTAGTCCACCATTTAATTTGATCTACTCAATTTAAAACCTAGCCAAGTCCTATTCAGATCCATTCCTAACAAGCTATGGAGGCGATGTTGAATTAGGGGAGTATTTTTTTCAGCAGCTGCCACATTGCCTCAGTTATTTATTTATTTATTTATTTTATGTATTGGTCATCTTTAGAAGGTTGCCTCATTCCCCAAAAACCCCATGAAGAGTTACACCTCAATTCACACTAGTGTATAAAATGTTTTCCTAGTCTCCACAGAATTAACTTATGCTGCTCTATCGAAATCTCCCTTGCTTCTCCCGGCCGTGAGGCCTAAGGATTTTGGAGCTAAAATTACATTTCTTATTTTGCTTTGTTTATTAATCAATTTTTTATCCCTCAGCAAATAGATTTTTGGCAGCTTACAAAAGAAGACCATTATGCCATACTACAAGATAAAAGTGCAATACTTCTAATTCCCTAAACACTATTTCAAACATTTCCAGGTGTTTCTGGAAGGTGAATGTTGGGGCCAACCAGACCTTCCATGGGAGGTCATTCCAAAAAGTCAGGCCCATTATAGAAAAACACTTCCAGGCATCAGCACCCAATCTCCTGAAAAAGAGGGACAACCAGCTGTTTCTCCCAGTCTCAACAAAATGGTCGGGTCAACACCAGTAGAGAGATATGGCACATCACCCAATGCTGAGCAAAAAAGCAAGAAAGCTCTTTATGGGTTAACCACAACCCTGTCAATTGCATTGTGTTGTATTTATCTACTTTCCACATTGCAGCATCCATCTCCTGTGGCTGCCCGCCCCATAGCCCCATTATTATTATTTTTGGATGGAGGAAAGATACAGGTGCAACCCCCTTTCTCCTCAGGTTTAATTCCATTCTTGCACCCTGAGACAAGAAGCAGTGCAATTGGTGTGCCAGCTTTCCAGACAGCCTCGTGATGGCAGACCTTGAACACAAGCAGACGGCAGAGAGCTCTAGAATTGCCACTGAAATCACAACGGATAAGTTGATGCCATCACGGCTTCAGCCAAACGGAAGGTGCAACCGATACTTTCCATGTGAGTGAGCCTACCACGAAGGTTGAGATCCAGATATGACCTCTCCATATTCTTAGACTGCTTTCCTTTCTAACTCTCCTGACTTTGTGACTCCAGGTGATATATAATAAAGCAACGTTAAGATGTCCTTTAACAGGAGGGCATAGTTCTATAAAACGTCCAAGTGTCGTACAGTTTAAAAGAAAATAAAAATTCCACAATGCCACATAAATGGGAACTGTAGAATGGGTTTTCCCTAGCTTCGTGCAGTAATTCTGCTTTAGAATTTCCAAGCCAAGAAGCACATTTGGTCAGAAGAGAGAAATGGGAAAATGATAAACCCATAATAGGAAGTTCACAGCTGCAAAATTGAGGCATTTCAGCATTACTCAGTATTACTGAGTTAAAAGCTAAGCCCAAGTGGCAATTTCTTAACAAGGATGTTAGGAGGAGACAGAAATGGCTGTCTGTCAGTGATGGCATCTTTCCTAGATGGAGTAACTGCTTCAATTAATTATTAGTTAATAAGCAAGGCATGAGGACTGGTATGGAAGGAACTAGGGAAAATCTGATTATAAGGATGACTTTGCACCTTGCTTGGAAATCAAGCATGGAAATTACATAGAGAAAACTAAAACAATCTTCATTTTTCCAGGTAACAAATGTACATTGGGATACAGGTGAAGATAGGTTAGGCTTAGTTTTCCTTTAGGTCTGAAGTTCAGTTTAATGTTGACTGCTAGGTTAGTAAGAAACCAGTGAAAGTATGCTGGTGAATGAATTTTTCAGCAAATCCCATCACTTTTTATTTTCATCAATCCCTATATTGGTTGGATATTTCAGAGAGTCACCATTTAAATTACTGAGCTGGCTTCTGGCTGTATCTATGGAACACTCCATTATTTAAAAAAATTAATTACCATTCATGCTTTTGAATACATGCATTGATAATGCAATCATGGTTTTTTTCTCATTTTAAAATGGCCATTTCATGTTTTAGGGCTTTTACCATTCAGTCTATCTCCAGAAATTTAAAATGAAAACCACTTCTTTTCATAGAACTATTTAAAACTGGAACAATCTCCTGTCTTTCTCTTTCTTTTTCTGTTTCTCTCATATGCTAAAGATTTATACTAAATTTGTGATAGTGTTAACATTTTTTTACATTGATTGTTGTACTGTATTGGGAATGTCTTACTTTGATTGCTATACTATTTTATTTTTATATTCATATATAATTTTAATTTCCTGTTTTGATTGACTTGTTTCCCATTTAGTTATAAGCATGTGCTAATTAAAAGTATTGCTATTACTACTTGAAAGATGTTGCCAATTAAAAAAAGCCCAGCATGAATATAAGCTACATGGGGGGGGGGGAGAACTCTCTCTATAGTAGTTTTGCAAAGAAAGGAATGTTAAGTCCTTGAAATAAAATATAGGCCAGACTATTGGAAAAGCTCAGGATCCTCAGCCAACACAACATACGTGCACACTTCAAACCCATGAATACACTAAGGCAGAAGTTTGTCACCCCAAGGATAAAACACCCAGACACAAACTGAGCAACGTATATATGCAGTACAATGCAGTGAGCCACGTTCAGAAGTGACAACCACTTCATAAACGCATGGTGCAACATAGGAGAACAAACCCATCAGGACAAGATTCAACAGTCCATCTGCCGTTAAAAGACAAAGGCCACTCTTTCGAAAACAGAAAAGTCCACATTTTGGACAGAGAGGACCGCTGGTTTGAAAAAGGGGTCAAAGAGGCCATCTGTGTCAAAACTGAACAGCCCTCTCTCAACAGAGGGGGAGGGATACAACATCATCTGTCTCCAGTCTACAACACAGTCCTTTCAGCAGTTCCAAGAAGGCTCCACGCCCACTTGCACTACTCAGGTGGTCTCAACAACTCTCTAAAATAATGCAAATGACCAGCTGTCTGCAAGGAGTATAAATCCTTCCATTCCCCACCTTTCAGTCAGAGTTGAAGAAGCTTCTTGGATGAGAAGCGAAACGTCTTCAAAGAAAAAACAAGAAAGTCCAAAAAGTCTCATCAAAAAGCACCTTTGAGATAACTATGACCTGGATGACTGAGAATCTCCATAGACATTTGCTTTTATGTGTGTTCATTACCTTTTATGTAAAATGTGCTTTGAATGTCCCTTGTTTGAAGAACGGGTAACATGAAGAAGCAATTTTAAACCATTCAGTTGCTTGCCTAGTAGCAAAGAACTTGGATGAATGTTGTTCACCCAGCGCGCTTAACCTAGCTACCGAGTTTAATCATTTTCTAGCTTTGCATAATATATTAAACTGCAGACTAAACAAATTAATAAAATTGCACAGCTGTGCTAAGCTACAAAAAACAAAGCAAGGTTAGGATATTAGGCAATGTTTTTAACCTGTAAACAAATTAAAGGTGTGGTATGAATAACTGCACGTTCACCTTCTGTATGCCACACAGAACTACCATTTTGCCAAGTCAGCATGCACCAATAAGTTGATAATCTTTCCCTAGTTAAAAGTGTCCTTCTCATAGTTTTCCCATTTTTTTATCATTTACATCTGAAATGGTTGTGGGCCAGTTATTAATTCCTACATGATTGTCCTAAAGGTGCCCTTTCAAGAGGCAACTGGACTTTCTCTCTTTCTTTTCTTTGAAGACATTTCGCTTCTCATCCAAGAAGCTTCTTCAGCTTTTGTCAGACAACCATGACCTGGATGACTAAGAATTTTCATAGACATTCCTACATGATGTTTCTCCATCCCAGTCTTTGGGAATGGAAGATAAAGGCTGATAATGGATAGAGCAGTGTATTTCAACCGTAGCAACTTGAAGATATGTAGACTTTAGCCCGAGAAATTGGGGAATTCTGGGGGTTGAAGATGACACATCTTTAAATGGCCAAAGATGAGAAACACGGGGATAGAATATAGTGTCCAGGTAGGTTTGAGCAACCAGAGCATGATGCTCTGTGTTTTTAATTTAAGAACCAGTTTGGACTAGTGGTTAAGATACCAAATTAAAAAAATAGGAGACTGTGAGTTCAACTTCTACCATGTTTCTGCCATGAAAGCCAGCTAAGTGACTTTTGGCCAGTCACTCTCTCTCAGCCTAACCCACCTCACAGAGTTGGTGTTGTAAGGAAAATAGGAGGAGGAAGTAGTGTTGGATATGTTTGCTGCCCTGAGTTATTTGTAAAAATAATAGGGGCGGGATACAATTAAATAAAAATAATAATCATAATAACATAACCCCATTTCCTCGTCTGAACAGAATCAAATAAGATCATGTTGCTCCAGAGAAGGAAAAGAGATCCAGATGGGATAAATAAGCAAGTTGGGCGAAAAGCTGCACCATCCATATTCTACGTGGACAACACTGTCTTTGTGCTTAGTAAAAAGATGTCTTCAGCCAATGAATCTGTTGACTTCCATTCTACATAACGTAGTTCACTTCCTGTTTCCTTGTTTTTTCCCCCCAGACATGGATGGGAAGAAATGCAGTGTATGGATGTTCTTACCTCTTGTCTTGACATTGTTTACCTCAGCAGGACTGTGGATTGTGTAAGTACCCCTTGCTGTAGTTTCTGACACAAAACAAGTCTGTCAAATAATAGAAGTCACAACAAGTTTCCAGCAGATCTTGACTGAAAACACTTCCAGCAGAAGCAGCATTCTATCCAAGGAACATTATTATAATAACTTTCTTGGAATGCTTGATTTCTTTCATCACAATAACTTGAATGAGGTAAGATAGTTGCATAATAAATTTGCCTGGAAGTGTTTTCAGTCAAAACCCCATGATTATTATACACAGTTATTCTTCGTGGACTGTGGAAGTTCTTTTTGCCCAGTTTGTTTCTTTATATTTTTGCAGTCCTGATGCAAAATTAGCATTTCCCATGCCTGCCAAAGTTTCTCTGCCTTTCCAATATAAGCAATGCCATTGATAAAAACCATGCACACATATGCAAGAAATTAAGCACCCATGTCTGCAATCCAGATGTGATGTAATCTGCATACTTATGCAACCTAAGCAAATCTGCAAAACTTGTCCTGTTCTGCGCTGTTTAATTTGCCATTATTTAATTTGCATAATTGCCATTATGCAATATTTTATCTGGGTGTGGTTTGCCACCCTGGGAAGTATGCAAAAGATTAGTCAGAAGATCTAAACCTTATTTTCTATCATAAATTGTCAGCTGATGTTATTGCTGATCTATTCTTCCAAAATGGCTAGATATTTAATTTCCCAGGAGAGCCTATAGCTGGGGTCTTCAGACTTGGCCCTTTTATGACTTGTGGACTTCAACTCCCAGAATTCCTCACCCAGCGTGCCTGGCTGAGGAATTCTGGGAGTTGAAGTCCACAAGTCATAAAAGGGCCAAGTTTGAAGATCCCTGGCCTATAGCCTCTTCCTTGAATATTTAACCAAGCCCCATGCTGCTTAGCCTCAGTCAAAGGTAGGCAGGCGCCACTATCTGCTCAGAGTAAAGACTCCTTAAGGGTAAATTAGAGCTTATTCTGTGTTTGATTGTCACAGGAAGTCGCAGGAAGTCATGGCTTTCCCTGACAACTCATAGCTTTTCCCTGGGGAAAGCAACATTATGCAAGGGCAGGATGAAAGTAAAAAATGTCAAGTTAGTGAGCCAAAGAGTTGGAAACATGATATATATAAAAAGAAAACCTATCTGTAATTAAGGAGAAACTTCCTGACAGTTAGAACAATTAACCAGTGGAACAACCTGCCTCCAGAAGT